TGATGTTGGTGATAACAGTACTGTTCAGATTTCACACCAAACAGTTGAAGCAGTAGTTCCACCAATAAAATCATTTAAAGAAAGGCGAAATAAAGTGAATGAATTAATTAATCTCAAAATTGATTATTATAAGAAAGAGAAAGTTGACGCAGAAAAAAAAGATGTCTTAAAAGCAGAAAAGTTCGAATTGCAAAAGAAGTTGGTTGCCATAGAAGAAAAAAAAGTTGCAATTCTCGAAGACTACCTCAAGAAAGCATAATAACAGGAAGTTTTTTATTTTGTTGAATTAATGAACTGAGCTCAGTATATCAAATAGAAATATTAATAGTTCTCGAATGATGTTAAGTTACTGGATTAGAATTAAAACACATTTTCAGAATCAAATATATTTATTAGGTATGGATATATTAATATAACATGTGAAAGACCTCATCACGCCTAGTTATTCTTGGAATGCCGTCTTCATTATATTCATATTCTACTTGAACATTTCCATCATTTTCTACTATAAACTCTTCACCCAAATCATCCCAAATAATGCAAAGATTATGTAAAATAATGGCTCCCACCAGACAATTCACAATAAACTCAAGATCTTTATTGTGGAAACCATATAACCTACGAAATCTACCTTTAAGCAATCCAAAACTATGTTCCACAATAACTCTTGTTCCTGATAAGCGTCGATTGAATTCTTTCTGATTATCAGATAAATGTCCATTGTCTTTGTAAGGTGTTACAATCCAATTCAATGATGCTGGATAGGCACTATCCCCAATTATATAATAAGGGTATAGAGCATTTTCATCTTGAATTTTTTCATATATTGGAGATTTTCTCAATAGTCGTGCATCATGCATGCTACCAGGCTCTCCAACATAAATATCTGTGAAAATCTTTTGGTGATTCACAATGGCTTGAAGAAGGATACTGTGATAACCTTTTCTGTTCACATAATCTTCTTGATTCTGTTTTGGTTTATCAATTTTTATGTGGCAGCCATCTATTGCTCCAACTACCAAAGGAATCCTTTTTTTTTCTTGAAATCTTTGTGATAAATTTGGAAATTCATTAACATCAGGAAATTTTATGAATCTGCTATGAGTTTCCTTAAGAGCCATGATACACAATTTTAGGCATCCATGACATGCACTTTCTGAAACATTGAAGCGATCTGCTACTTCTCTGAAGGTATTCGTATTGGCTAAATACCACAACATCATGTGAACCATTTTTGCTTTTGAAATTTCCGGCCAACCTCCAATATACTTCTTTTGGATTTCTATAAGATCTGAAAATGATATTCATCAAGAGTACAAAATTAAATAATTGGTTGATACTTTTTTTTCATTGGAAGGCAAAAAGGGAATCTCTATTTTGTTGAAGGAAGGGATCAAGGAACATGTGTACCTAGGGAGGATCAGGAGAGAAAGTAGTCATTGGATTTTTTTTACATTGGAAGATTATACATTCTCGGAAATACTCCCCTTGGCAAAGAATTCCAAAACTTTGCCATTCTATAGACAAATGGGTTCTGGTGAGGAGTTGTTCTGCATCTCAAGGTTGACGACAAAAGAATGTGCTGAATGAGCTTGTCAAATACGTTTCTGCAGAACATTTTTCCTGGAAAAGTGGGTATCTATAGGGAGAAGTGAAAAGTCGGCGACTTTTCAACTGTGTTCCAATGATGTCAAGGAATCAGTGAGTATGGCATCACCAACCAGGTGGAAGGCTCATCTCTGGATGAATTCTAATCTGAAATGTTGAAAGTTACCAAACTACAAAGTTTCTGTAAACCCTTTTGATCAAACCTGAAGGTTTAACCGAGAATTTTTTGATAAAGTGATATAAATAAATTAAATGCCTACCTATACATTCTTAATATACATAGAAAAAATTGGTCAAACAGTTTTCATTATATTTGTAAGTATACTGCCTATGACAATATTATTGTCAAACCTTACCACAAAGTTTTTCAACAGAATTTCTAGTCATTCTGAAATGTCTTTTGAAGTCTTCATCAGAATACTGTTTTACAGTATTTTCAAAATAATTTTCTATCCTTGCCCTCTTCATTCTCATTATATCAGTATCACTGTCCAAGTCACTGCTATCACTACTACTGCTACTCAGATCTTCCACTTTTATTGAACTGGTTTTCATGATATTTTCCTATAGAAATTAATATTCTCTGTGAGCTCAAATTCATCATACCTGATGCCACATTTGGCCAAAAAAGTACTTCAAATTCTGGCTCAAATTATTGCTACGGGAAGCAATCATCAAAAGGTATACTCACCAAAACAAATTCCATCATATTCAATCCTTCACATATATTTCTAAATGTGTAATTATTATTAATAACAATATAATAACCTTATTGTTTGATGTATGTGACACTAGCGACAAACCGACAAACAAGATTCTTGTAATTAGTAATCCATCCGAACCTCTTCTTTCGTCTTAATCACGACAGCTAGATCGATGATACAAAAGTTCAGTTTCATCTTGTTCAGTTTCACTTTGATCAGTTCAGTTAGATGGTTCAGAACGAAAGAATATTACTATTGTTATGACCAGGTGAACATCCATCATTTTAACAGATGAATAATTCATCCAAATTTATATTTCATGAGCAAAGGGTTGGAGAATGTTGAAGTGTTCAGGGTCGTTATGAGGTTTATTGGAGTTCACTATCAGGAAAAGCCTTGGGAACTCAGGTAGCAATGAATTTCCCTACTCTACTTTCGAACTCTCGAACAAAAGAAATTCAACCAGAATCAGTCCGAGGTACTCAGATATTATAATCAAAACCAGTCTAGTTATGAATCTGGTACAAAAACACTTCATTGAAGAGCTATATGCTATCCTTCGGACAAGAATCAATCGTAAACCTGATGCTTTGACGAAAATATATCATCAAAGTCCTTTGCACTCGAGATGCCCAATTCTTTGCGAATAAATGTTTCAATATCCACAATGTCATTTAATCCTCCGAGAATATCGCAAGATTTTTCCGCTCTGGTTTTATCTTGCAAATCAAGCTTGGATCCCCTGTCGATATTTGGTATATACTATCATATAAATTAGGAATCAAAAATGCTAGTCCGTAATTAGACTCTCGATGGAGTTGAAGCGGCGCAAAAAGTCTATGGAGAGCGTTAAAGTTGATTGTTAAAAGTATAAAGATGATTAATGACAAAGCAGCGCCATCTAGATATTATATGAGAATTTATACGAAATTATAATTTGCCACGTCTGAGAAATCACAGGTCTCAGGAATATATCATAGATAAACTCGAATATGCTATACTTATGTTACAACCTGTATGTATCTTCATATTTTAAAAAGTTGTTTGTGTTTGATCATCTGCTCCGATCGAAGCCACTAACAAATTTTGATTTCATTATGCAGGTGACAAAAAGAGACTGTGAAGGATACTTTCCTCTTCAGAACTGTTAATATAATACAAATTCAATGAAAAGAAGTTTTCAAGCTATATCTAATAGTTGTACGGTGACATGTACCCAACACACGAAACACAATTATTCAACCCATGTGATCTGCAAAAGCTTCTTTATAAACTTCGAATGCAATCTCCGAAGCATTCTGAATGTTAATTACATCGAATCGTAGGAGACAATTTTCAGCCAGGATACGAATTATTTTAGAATGTATAATTAAATGATATGATAGTTATGTTTGTATTTGTTTATTATTCTTCATTCGATGAACAACATGTATAACCAAAATATGACTCACAAATGACTCATGACGTTGAGTCTTAGCATCCCTCCAAAAATCATTAAATGGAATAGGCGCCAGCCACTGCATTCATCAAATGATACCACTACGGAATACGAATAGTCTACGAATATTTATATACAGGGTGTTTCCTAAGTACGTGTTGAAAATTCAGGAACATGTTGCTGACGTATAAATAGGAAGAAAAGTTCGTATAAACATATATCCGAAAATTATTCGTTTCTGAGATACACAGTGCCAAAGTTGAATTCTTATTGGGAGAGTTCAAAAAAGCAGGAACAAATAGGTAAGAGTCATATTTTTCCTACATTCCAATGTTGAATGAAGGAGAATATTGAATGAAAGACGAAAAATGCACTGGCGTATATCTTTTCTGATATTCACTATATAGAGGCGACGAGCCACATGGAAATAATTCGAATGCATCGATTATTTCGAATCCCAATAACTCGAAAACAGTTGCTCGCAGCGACCTCTACCAAGAATATATTTCTCACACAAAAGTGTTCTAGAAACCTATTTCTTCACTATGAAACGTTATACAGGTACGCACAAAAAAGTTATAACTCTCCAAAAGAATCAAAAGACATGCATGTGGCGCCAACCCCACGAAAGAGACAAACTTACATAATATTTGATATTGTCATTGAAAAAATACCCCTAGATACCAAATTTCATTTCGATATCACAATTATATCGAAATTTATTAACAAAAAATAAGAACAAAAATTCATATTTGACACTTTGTATCTCAGAAACGAATAACTTTCGGACATATGTTTATACGAACTTCTCTTCTTATATCTACGTCAGCAACACCCTCCTAGAATTTCTACACGTACTTGAGAAACACCCTGTATAGTATGGTGCGATACAATTTCGTAGTGGTTTGACCAATTGATTGGGGCAATGGTTTTCGTCACTTTCCCTTTTATATTCTACAATTCTCACCATGAATCTCATAAAAGATTCGTGATTTATTGTGTTCCTTGAAGGATTTCATTCGATTGCTCTCTTTATAGGTCATTCTAAGAAATCACTCTGGAGTCCTCAATATGACGTCTTGTGGCTGTGATATCACAGTTCACGATATCCAATTCATCATTTTATGATCAGAATTTGACGAAAATTTGACGTCACTTTGCGGAAGAGCACATATTATTGCACTTACTCAACAGAATATTCATTCAGTTTTTTGTACAAAATTTTCAGTGATCGAAATCATGATTTGTTTCCATAGTTTTGAAGCATTGAGCATCAATAAAAAAAGGATTGTCATAACATTTTATTATTTTATAGAATAAGGAGAAATCGAGACTCATCAAAGTATAATCTCCAATTTCCAGATCACACTGATTTTCCCTATTTATAGGTCTTGCGTAACAAAGCAAAAAACGCGACTAGGCGGAAACTAACAATCAAACAAAATAGGCAAATAACATCAAAATATAGATTTTCTTCCATAAAATTGAACATTTTCAATACCACTCTGCCGTTTGGGGGACATGTGGAATTGCCAATCGGACATTCTATCTCTTCTATGTTTTCCCACTGGTTTATCAACAGAGCTTCATTGCCATATTTGAACCAGGAAAGATAGGATGCCCATTTCAGGTAGACTGGAATCGAACTGAAAACAATAGTTATTCATGATACAACTGTGAAAAGCAACATTATATATTTTGTAGTAGGAAACATTGCCAAAGAAGACGTGGTACATCTCACGTAATGTATAATTGTATTCTATGATCTCACAAAGTGTCGTTGCTAAATATTCAATGGTTTTCGTGTAATTATATATCGAATACTCAGCCTATCTCAAATTATTGGACCACTATTAGGTTTCACGAATTGACCGAATAATAGGAATTACGCAGTATGTGATATAAATTTCTATATTTCAACAGTCCGGTTTGCCGCGAAAATCAAAATATTTCGGGTGATGTCCCGAAGTACTGAAAAGGGTATGGTGAGGTATTGTAGAAGTCCAATGAACTTCTGTGTTTTGTTATCAATACATGGATCTGATATCCATTCTAATTCACTTTATATTCATAGACGTATCGAAGGCATCATTGGGAAACATGCATGATCTCACGAATATTTTTCTCTCCATTTTTTGCCATGTTTATCGAAATTTCACCATATGATAACCACTAGTTCTATCTCTTTCACTAATAAAAAACAATTTGTTTTTATGAACAATTCTCTAAGCTATAAGCGAATCGAGATGTTGAAAATTTTTGAATTCCTTACCTGTAAAATTAAGAGAACTGAGATACGTCACTAGGTGAGATGACCGACGAAGAGTATAAATAAACATTTTCTGTTATGAGGCTATGATGAAGGCATAATGTATTTCGGCACAACTATTCAAATTTTTCCTAGAAAATTTTCAGTTCGGAAAAATGAAATTTTGTCGCATTTTTCATGGAAGCACCTCCGTATCTCACGTATATGACTTCATCTTTGGACTTCCTCTTCCTCCGGCAAATTTCAGAACCCTACCTCAATAATTACGTGAGATACAGGGGTGCTTCCATAAAAAATGCGACAAAATTTCATTTTTCCGAACTGAAAATTTTCCTGGAAAAATTTGATCAGTTAGTAAATTGGACGTCCTGATTCTGAATCCGACGTGATTTTCAACCTATTTTGACACCTAATATCATTTTACGGAAATTGGGGTGGTTTCATGGCTGTTGGCGAGCAGTGTATAACACTGAAGATGACTCCACTTGGTCATAGAGTGCATTTTTGGTATATCTCTCGCTCCAGCAAATTTCAGGATCCTTACCCAACGATTACTTAAGATACAGGGGTGGTTCCATTAGTAGTGGGTCACACTGTATATTGAGACATTTCCGAGAATATTTTAAGAATTCAAGAATGCGTAATGACAAATTCGTGAGAATATCTTCGTTCCCTTTCTTACCATATAGGCGCAGTCGAAATATCGCATTGAAAAATTGTCAAAAATGATTTTCTGAGAAAATGATAAAATATAATTATAAAGATTCGATTAGAGAGATATTGAATAAGAATGAACGATATATTATTCTTTTGTTCACAGTGACTTAATTCAATGAGACAAGTTTCTAGCTAACGCATCTCTATAGGAAGGTGATCTGGGGCATGATTATGTGCTGCGTTCATATGGTACAAAAATCGATATATAGACCATCAGTAGTTAGCGTGTACTCCACAAATTGGGTGCCCTAATTTTGAAATAATTGAACTCATTTCTTGGTTCCAATCCTATATATCACTAATAACAGCATGGCACACACATCAAGAGCGACCCTTGAAGTATGTTCTGCTTGATGTATATATTAAATCATATCCAACTGGACACCTATATCCTGTGGGTATTGGGATTGGGTTTCACTTCTGATTGTTTGATGATTCCTTAAATAATGAGGACTTACTTGATATTGAGGAAGAACCCTCCAAAGAGGAGAGATGGTATAATCAATGGCGGACCCAGTGACAGTGCCATAGAATAGGTTGCTGATAGGCACGATATCATGTATCCTGAAAATTCACGGCTGTAACAGGGTCAACCAAATGGTTTCAAGATGAAAAACTTACCAAAACTTGTAGCAACATTCGCAACCAATATCACAATGACACAAGCAAATAAAAATTTACTCATGTCACTATTCAGACCTATGATGAAGTAACATACCGAAGTGAAGAGGAATGGTAATACTATAAAGAATGGTAGTTCGGCCAGTGTCTTGCTCAAGAAATAAACGTCAGTCCTGTACATCCCATTTCTTTGTTCGCGAAGAAAAATTGGAAGTTCCGAACAGAATACCTGAAATAAACCATTGGTATGAAGAGGAAGAAATAGATAGCTGATTCTTATTCTCCTGACGTACATTTATAACAGCGTATACATTCTGGAAAGTCATGTTCGTCAGAAATATGAATAGTACTCCATTGATGTTCATTACGCCATCCTGATTGATCTCTTGGCCATAATAAATTGCTCCTATCACCAAGGAAACCATCTAGAAATAATGAGTGAAATTGATTTCAGCTTCCATCATGTGAGACAGATTCAACTAATTTTCTCTTACAAGCCAGATACTACATTTCACTCTATCTTACAATTGTCTGTAGTAGTCTAACTTTGACTAGCGAAGGGTGCTTCATGATACTGATCCATGATCTCCATAGTACTGCTTGGAATTGTGCCCACCATGAAGCCTTGTATGGGCAATTCTCTTCTCCATTAGACCAAATATCGACTCCATTTTCATCTTGATACTTGTTCTGCAAAGTTAAATTGATATAACACGTTTTGTCTTGTATTTTTGATTCGAATCTGATGCGAATGAATGATATTTCGTTCTTTAGAAACCGTGTTTTAAATGATGATGAGGATTGATGCACGTATGTTTCATGTGATCCTGATACAGAATTCATCATTTTTTTGTAAAAAAATGTCTAATTTTACTTTTTGAGATAGGGGCAAATAAAATGAGTCACAGTTGACAACGACAACAGTTCAAGATTAAATATTGGATGAATACACTCAATCAACGATAAAATTGATACCAAAATCGATCAAATAATCAGGATTCCAAAGGAATGGTAAGTCCTACTTGATGCGGACACACTATATAAGGCGAAAAAACCTTGGGCAAGTTGATTCTCATCTATGATAATATATCTTTCCATATAAATATTTACAAAAACCTATTAATTTCCTGCACTACGAATGAACCCTCTCAAATTGTTTGCTTTGTATGAAATATCACATATTGTCAGAGAGTTATGTTGTATTTGTATACCACTGTTAATTTCTCTCAATCCAGATGAGCCATGTCTGTAAGAAAGTAGTATAAGATCTTCGATTCCTTGAGAGTTTCGTTCAAATTATTGGTGATGGAAAGTATGTATTATTTCATTGTACCACTTGAAAATTGAAATGAATTCACCTACATTTATAATCAGCTTTCTTTTCTGAACATCAATGTACTCCTTTCAATCACTCAAATTACTCGTAATATAAGTTCATCTATATTCAAAATCCATTATTCATGCATAATTTCCATCTATCTCTATGTTCAAAGGAGTGTTTCCTATAGTATTATCAATAATTAATACGAAAATTACAATAAATTCTGATTATTTCGACTGCTGTAAGTAAGATTCAACCCCTTGAACAATTCGAAAATCATGAAGTAGTAGGCCAGAAGGTTAGAGTTGGTTGAAAATGTCCATGTGAAAAAAAAAAAAAATTTCAAAAATACAAATTGGCCTGTCCGAGGAGTTTTCGAAATAACTCTTCGATATGAAGATACGAATTTGATTTTGTCATTGGTTCCTACACTGCATATACTGACCCCTGTTGCTGATTCAACAGCTACTTTGATCCCAGAATCTGATTTTTCAAAAGTATCACATATCATTGCCACTGCTTGTCTCGAGGATTCTTCTGTACCAGGAACAATTGCTAGAAGCTGAATGAAATAATCAGCAGGATTGAAATTCCTGGGACATGGTGCTTTTATCCTGAAAATTTCGAATCATTCAATATATATATATATATATATATCTGAATAACACCAGAAAAATTCAGAGGGTGATTCCTTGTAATATTTCAGGAAATAAATTTCATATAAACATGTGTCCCAACTTGCTTCGTTTTCAAAATACTGGTTATTAATATTTCCATGAAAAATCTTTTTTCAATTCATGTCTCAATAGTTTTTTCATAAATTCCAATATAACGTTGTTGTTTTGTTGATAGTGATATGGAGCTTCTCCTAGTGCAATTAGATTCGAAATAATATTTCCAGTGGCGTCATAGTGGGTAAATCTATCGATATTCATGGTGAATGTCATTGTACACCACCGGTCTTTTTTTTGAGTTTCATATTTTCATTAGATTGAACTATTGAAATAACAACTTTTTTATCCTATGTGTGATTTTCTTGACTATCTTAGTTTTTGGGAAAACAATAAAAATTTGATTTGACGCCAAATTTCACGGTATAGGTGTTTTCCAGACTTCCATTAAGAAAACTCAATAACTCCAACTAAAATCTTTCTGAAATGTTATGGCTTCTTCAGTCTCCATCCATACTGAATTTTGCCACCATGAAAGCCTATACAGGGGGGTTATGAATCAAAACAATTAATACTTCCAACTTCAACATTCTGTATCTCAAAAACGGAGCAAGTTAGAACACATGCTTATATGAACTTTATTTGATAGGATGACACAAGAAAACACCCCTTGAATTTTTTGAAATACGTGCACATATTCAGCACATTAATATGATACAGTCTAAGGAATATTCCCATAATCAGATGTTCTTTGATTCTTCTAATTAACGGGAAATTTCATCCCAAGAACCAAAATACGGGAATTAAGTCAAGTACGCCACTTCCGAACAATTTAAATGATTGAACACCGCGTGATCGTGCCTACCGCATGAAAATTTGAACAGAGGTGACGTCAGTTTCACTGAAGTGTTGAATATTGGATGGAGAAAGGGGTATAACTTCAAATTTCATTTTGATCCTTAAATTTTGTTCATTAGTGCCATTCGATAGAGCTCGTCGAGCTTTCTCAGTGTTTGGAATATTTGCACTCATTTCAATGTCACCCTGTATAATGATCTTTGGTAGGAACTCAGTATGCCCGATATTGTAATGTGTGTCACCAACATCCCCACCAAGCCCACCATATCCATGCTCGGTATTTCCATCAGCAACACTCTTTCATGAGATAATCATGTCAGATCCATCGCAAAAGCTGCTTCACAAAAACTCGGATTCTTTTTCCGTGCGAAAAGCTACTTAACACCTCAACAGCTTCTCATGATCTACAAAGCGCAGATATTGCCTGTTCTAGAATACTGTTCCCACATATGGGGTTCAGCACCAAAACTCACGCTGATGCTGTTAGATTCCATCCAGAGGAGAGTCATTCGCCTGGTGGGTGACGCCACACTCACTCACTCTTTGACATAATTGAAACACCGTAAAAAGGTCGGCGACCTTTCACTTTTCTATCGATACTTTCACGGGAAATGTTCTTCAGGAATCTCTCATTCACTAGCAATACCAGTCAGTACTAGACAAGCCCAGTCAGCACATCCTTTCGTTGTATACCTCGAAAGATGTCGAACAGCACTTTATCAAAACTCCTCTATCCATAGAATGGCTCGGCTATGGAATTCATTGCATGAGGAAGTATTCCCAACGACGTATAATCTCCAGAAGTTAAAAAAAATTCCAATACCAACCTCCTGTGCATATCCTTCCTAAAAACGCACGATGTTCTTTGAACATCATAGCGCTCTCCTTTCGTGCGCTCCAAGCGAAAAAAAAAGTCCATGGTTTCTCAAAGTGGAGTGGAGTAGTAATAAGTAATGATACTAGTCCTTGCCACAACATTTCAATATGATCCAGCAAATTGAAATACTTGGTTCATGTTTCGGACATATATATGTCCATCTTCAGCCTCTCCAATCATCACCACATATCGTGGAAATTTATTTATTTATTTAATATTAATACATCCAGAAGGCTTACGCCCATTTACAGGTGTATGTAATAATACATGGTTATTAGTTGGATCGCTAAAAATATATACCTATATCTATACATAACTCGAAGAGAATATAAACTAATATATATATAAACTAGTTCCTCAAGGCACTAAATAGTCTATGCTTGAATTGAGACAGCGAGAGAAAAAATATATCAATATCAATACTTTGTAAATTGTTGTAACTTCGGCACATTGTTGTAAGGGGACAATGGAAGTGATGTTGTGTGTTGGGCACAGCAATGCGGAACGTTATATCTGATCTTGACACGGATCGTGGTACATTGAAATCAATCAGAGAGAGTAATGAGGATGAATCGATATGATTATGGATTATTTTATGCATAAAAGTTAAATCGATTATTTCGCGATGTTTTTTAAGAGAAAATAAATCGAATTCGTTCAGCAATAGGTCATAGCTATAGTGTCTTTGAGGATACACGCCATATTTTTTATAGTATGCATATTTCAAAAACTTTCTTTGCACTGATTCAATGGCTTCGATATATTTGGAATGACATGGATTCCATACGACACTGCAGTAATCTAATTTACTTCTCACCAATGAGAAGTAGACACTGCGCATAGCACCAAATGATTTGAACTCCTTACAGGTACGAATCAAAAATCCCAAAGACTTCATAGCTCTGCCTATTACACTTTCTATATGAGTGAAGAATGTCAACTTTTGGTCAAAAAGAACTCCTAAATCTTTGAATTGTTGAACTCGTGATAGTTGTGAAGTATCCAAGTGATAATCGAATGAAATTGGGGTAGATTTTCGTGTGAAAGTCATGACTTTACATTTATTGGTATTCAAAGAGAGTTTATTTTTGAGGCACCAATCATTGATTAGATCAAGATCCAGTTGTAATAGTTGACAGTCATCAATAGTTTTAATTTCTCTGTAGATTTTCATGTCATCAGCAAAAAGTAGTTAAGCAGACTGGATACGATCACATATATCATTGATAAAAAGTAAGAACAGTAAAGGTCCTAAATTGGAGCCCTGTGGTACTCCTGAAGTTGCCTTGAATGTGAATGATTTGACACCATTATATTCTACGAATAACTTTCTATTTGATAAGAAAGATTTCAGTAGTAACTCAATGTCATAGGATATGCCGAAGCTAGACAATTTACTCAATAATTGTTGATGTGATACACGGTCGAATGCTTTGCTAAAATCTGTATAAATTACATCAACTTGATTTTTGCAGTCAAGAGCATTAGACACATATTGGGTGAAAGTACATAAATTTGTTGCCGTGCTACGCGATTTCACAAAACCATGTTGAAATTCAGATAGAGAAGTTCGAACGTGATTGTAAATTGAGTCAAATATGATTATTTCTAGTAATTTGGAGAATACAGAGATTAGTGCAATCGGTCTATAGTTTTCAATATCCGAAATCTTTCCTGATTTGAATACTGGACACACACGTGATAACTTTCAAAGGGTAGGAAAATCACATGTTTTCAGAATCAAGTTATATATAATGCCTAATGGTCTAGATAACAAATTGATGAAATTTTTAACAATTTTAGCAGGAATGCCATCTGGTCCACACGTTAATTTATTCTTAAGTTTTTTTGCAGCTGTTAGCTGAAAATAGGTTATGTTATATCTTATCATGATTGAGTAAAAACAAAAAATGGGTTTTATTTCAAACCAAGGAGGGAAAGCCGAAAAAACCCCAACTGAAAATATTATGGGGGATACGAAGAAAAATTCCACCCCAAGGTGCCCATCAGTGATAATTCCCTATTATGAATTATCAACTTCACACCTGCTGATTTGAGTGATGAGGTGTCATTTCCACATTACACACAATATCATATAATTTGTTGTTTCAACAATTATTATTTCATTGTTCAATCAAACATATGTTTCTTTTTAATTCGACAGAATTAAGTTGATTTTGACAACATTATATTTTGATGATGCGGCATGCAGCTGGATTATGTCAAGTTCATGAACGATTTTTCATCAATTTCATGCATTTTACCATTCAGATGAAGTATATTCCGATCAGAGATATTTGTGGCATTATCAAGAAATTTGTTGCTATTTGAAACAGATAGAGCTGGGCTGGTGAATCTTGTAGGAAATATTCTAAATATATAATATTCTGCGAATATGTTCGTTCTTGCCCACTAGGACATCCATAGGGGAATTTCATCGATGATGGCATGTTCACGTTCCTAGATCCTAGTGATATTTCAAAAGGACCATTCTACGAACATCAAGAATCATCCAGGGCTATTGGGGATGGTATAACATACTCTTCAAGACCTCATCCGCCTCGCCAGGAGACCCCATGAAGGCCACCTAATTCTTCCTCATCAGCAGCCACTTGGCAACCATGGCGTACAACTCAGAGCTGGTGTGGTGAATTCTGCAGGAAATATTCTATAATTTTTCACGAATATGTTCGTTCTTACCCATTAGATAACTCATAGGGAATTTCATCCATGATGGCATGTTCAAGCTTCTATATCCTACTAATATTTCAAAAGAACTATTCTATCAACAACAAGAAACATCCGTGGCCATCGAGGATGGTATAACATACCCTTTGAAGAACTCATCCGCCTCGCCAAGAGACTCCATAGAGGCCACTTTGCCTTCGCTCATCAACAACAACTTGTCGAACATGGCGTTCAACTCAGAGCTGGGCTGGTGAATCTTGCAGGAATCATTCCACATATATAATTTTCTGCGGCTATGATCGGTCTCACCCACTAGTACATTTATTGGGAATTCAATTGATGATAGCATGTTTAAGTTCCTAGATCCTACTAATATTCAGGAGAACTATTCTATGAACCACTGGAAGGAAGGAATGCTCGAAGTCATCTCCATTCCTTTCTTCCTGTGGAATATTTCACTACACTGTGAGCAATATGGACTTGTACCAAAGAATATTTTATGAACATCATGTAAAATCCGGGGCTAATGTGGATGGTATAACATACTCTTTGGAGAACTCATCTGCCTCATGAGGAGACCCCATAAAGGCCACTCTGCCTTCGCTCATCAGCAGCAACTTGTCGAACATGGCGTACAGTTCCGAGCTGGGCTGGTGAATCTTGCAGGAATCATTCTACATATATATATATTTGCGGATATGATCGGTCTCACTCACTAGTACATTCATTGGGAATTCAATCGATGATGGCATTTTTGAGTTTCTAGATCCTACTAATATTCAGAAGAACTATTCTATGAACCACAGGAAGGAAGGAATGCTCGAAGTCATCTTCATTCCTTTCTTCCTGTGGAATATTTCACTCCACTTTGAGCAATATGGACTTCTACCAAAGATTATTCTATGAACATCAAGAAAAATCCTTGGCTATTGGGGATGGTATAACATACTGTTTGAAGAACTCATCCGCCTCGCCAGAAGACTCCATGAATGCCACTCTGCGTTCGCTCATCAGCAACAACTTGTCGAACATGGCGTTCAACTCAGAGCTTGGCTGGTGAATCTTGCAGAAATCATTCCACATATATAATCTTCTGCGGATATGATCGATTTCACCCACTAGTAGATTCATTGGGAATTCAATTGATGATGACATGTTTAAGTTTCTAGATCCTACTAATATTCAGAAGAACTATTTTATGAACCACAGAAAGGAAGGACTGCTCGAAGTCATCTTCATTCCTTCCTTCCTGTGAAATATTCCACTCCACTCTGAGCAATATGGACCTCTGCCAAAAAGATTATTCTGTGAACATCAAGAAAGATCTGGGGCTATTGGGGATGGTATAACTCACTCTCTGAAGAACTCATCTGCCTCATGAGGAGACCCCATAAAGGCCACTCTGCCTTCGCTCATCAGCAGCAACTTGTCGAACATGGCGTACAGTTCCGAGCTAGGCTGGTGGATCGTGCAGACGACCGTCTTGCCGCCCTGCGCCATCGTCTTGAGGACTTGCACGACGTTGAGTGCCATGAAGGAATCCAGACCGGAAGTCGGCTCGTCGCAGAACATCATGGAGGGGTTCGTAAGGACTTCCGCGGCGAAGGCCAGCCGCTTCTTCTCGCCGCCCGAGATGCCGTTGCCGCTGGTGCAGCCTATTTGGGTGTTCTCGCAGCTGCGCAGAGTCAACTGGAATATGATGAATAGATAGATAGAAAAAACCATGAGATCTTTTTCGAAAAATACCTTCAAAGGTGTGGAACAAGTCATATTACTAATAACTTATTATGGATAGATACAAATACTAATTAATAGTTGAATATCACAATTAATGGAGCAACTCAAAAAAAAAAATTATATAACTATATATATCTCATGAGTCATGGATCGAAACAATAAGTATGGTGGAAGGAAAGGTCATTTCCAATTGAACTAACCGTATCATGTGGTTATCCAATTTATTTAATGTTCTAGTTTCCACGAAAACGGATATCCTGTTATATTGTAAAGAAATATTCTCACATGTATTTATGAACACAAAAAAATTGATTCATATATAAAGAAATACTTTGAGGATTCGCATTGAGCAAACACTACCGCGTCATCACAACCAGTCGAATTTCTTCCTTGCCCCGCGCAGCTCGAGTTTGTAGACATATATCTATCAAGAGCGGTTGTACAGGTGGGGGACTCGTAAACAATTGGCAACGCAGCCTCTGTCCGCAAGATATTCATTATTTTCATTTTAGCTTTTCTTTCTAGTAGCGTCAGTGGAAGCGTAGCTGAGATGGGAGCAGTGGCGTCGTTAGGAGCTTACACAAAATATTGTTTCGGTAGCCTTCTTCAGTGCTGATATGTGATATGTGCTATAATTACTGAACACACGAAGTAGACAGTCGGGATGTTTTACTGAATTACTTAGCAAAAAAAATAATTGGGGAATTCACGGAAAAAACTCACTTCGCCTTGAAGTATCACTAGAAAGTAGATAATCTGAAAATTCACTAGTAAATGTTCAATAAGTGGGTATTGAACGAAGCTTTGATAATTAAAAAAAAAGGACTTCACAGCTGGTAGCCAGATGAATTTTATTATTACTCTTTCTACCGGGTGGTTACAAGAACCGCGGGCAACCCCTGTAATTTTGATGCCGTCCGAGATAAAAATTTCAGGAACAGCCAGGTTCTCGTGGCCATTACAAAACGATTTTTCCTATTATATTTCATAATTCTGCATGATCCTCAAGTGCTTCCTAGAACATTCTCTGATTTCCAAGCCTCTCGGTACTCTCGGATCTACAAGCTCTGGCAAGAGGCAATTGAAATAAAATATTTTCAATTTGGGAACCATTTCATTTTCCTAGAAGTTATCATCTCTCTAAAAACATATATTTATGATCTAAAATGTATGACGGAAGATATGATCAATAGTTACCTCTTCTACAAGGCAACCTTTTGGACTCCATATAACAAAGAAACATTTTTCCCTTTTGCGTTATTGCTAATTGCCCTTGGACTTGAAAATAGTAATTATGTTTTCTATTCAGTACTAAGGTGTCGTTTTCGAGTTTGCCGAATTTGATCTTTTCCATCCCAATTTCCTCTTCTGGGCATATGTCCTTGATGTTGAAGGGACACTTCATCTCCACAATGGCATTTTCATCCACCAACCCATCAGGACTGGCACCCAAAATAGTTATTTATGCAACAAGTGCAAAAAGTGAATGTTGTCCAACTCGGCCTAACGGCCTCGTCGGACAATTTCACGTCGAATGCAATAAACAATTTTTGCACGAGTTGCATACAACATTTTCTCTACGTTCATGCAAAAAGCAAGAAATGATTTATTGAGGTGCGGCACTAGGTACAATTCTGTTAATTGTCAGAATTAATTTTTGACTGACGTTTCTATAACCACAGTTGCATTATAGAAAATGTTTGTCATGATGACAGCACGTTGAAGTAGAATGACAGATGAGTGCAATAAAAACTTTATTGCACTAAGTGCAATAAAGAACTTCTTTTTCCACTAAATATAGTTCAATAAAGTTCTGTTTTTTGCATGAATGTAGAAAAAATATTTTTTATCAATGAAAAATCCACTTTTCCTAACTTTAATATTTTTTTTGACTTCGATGGCAAAAGGTTCGTTCAATTTTCCATATTCGGTCGCTTTGCTGCCTTTCAATTTCGAATATAATAATCCTTTTATTGTATTAATGCTGCGGGTGTTCGATTTCATTTCTCTTTTCTGGTAGTTCTTTCTCTTTCACTTCTTCGACCCATTTTTCTTTCCACAATTCTCACTTGATTCACTGTCAAAACACGAATGAGCAAGGAGCAAGCACCCAATACTTTATTTACCTACCCTACCCATTGAGGGATTAGGATTTCCAATGAATAATTATTGTTTTCAGGTACGCCTATGAAAACTATTGCATACAACCTAATCTACTAAATGCGACGGTCCGGACGGATTATCAAAATTGGTTACCAGAAAAAGACAGCAACACCTAGTCTTGTCGATTATCAACAATATTCATTTCGCCCTAGGTAGGAAGCTTTTCCAACGTTGCCAATTGGGTCGAGGTTCGTTCGAGAGTTATAAAACGACATAGGTGGCAGCGCCAATCAGATACAAATTTCATGATCGTAGAATCGATTTTTCGTGAAAACTATAGCTTTTTTGTGGAAAATGTTTGTTTTGATGGATTCAGAGGCCTCATCAAAGTTCCGGATCTTCATTATTTTTCCATTTATCAAATTTTTTTTTTGAAAATTATCACATTAAAAAATCAATGAAGTTCCGGAATTTCGAAAAATGAAATGCATCAGTTGCACTAAGAATTTTTTTTTTGAAAAAAAAACTGAACGCGTAAAACCGATTCCCGTTTTATCAAGGTAGTGTTTGCTCTTATTCTAGGTAGATCATTGCAAATGGTTTCGAAGAATATGTTTAGTCAAAATACAAAACCCAAACAATTTTTATGTACTGGTCATGAAAACCATATCACCAATATCTTATTTGCGATGGGAATAGAAGAACCACATTTTCCAAACAACAGTGCTAGGTACAGTAGTTTTTTAATTGAATTTTCTCGACTTCGACACAAATGCTCGCGAGTATGATTCGGTATGACAATTTCATGAATACGTAAATTTCACTATTGCTGATGGTTTTTTCAATTATTCTTAATTTTTTGACAACGTAAGATTGGGAAGAATTCACATTAACGCCAACGAAATAAAATCAATATTCTGGTTGTCCAATGTAAGATTTGGTTTTGTTGCTGGAATAATGACAGAATAACAGCGGCTTATTGGATTATTTTCACATAAATTTTCACTTTCCATCACACAAGAGCATTTTATTGTCGAGGTGAACTTTGACAGGTCAATGAGAATTTTGTTGCCTGAAAATGACACGAGGAGTATTTTGAGGTGAATATCTAGGCAACAACATTCGAATATCAAATGTCAAGTTCATTACGACACAAAAAATGCATAAGTGTAATTCGCTAAGACAATATATTAAATGCATAATACACCTCATTTTTGATTATTCTTTTCAATTCCCCTAGTTCAAATCAAGTCATTTTCACAGATCATCTGTATACTATTCATTCCCTGTTTCTTGTACCTTATGTAGTATAGGGATAATTGAATATATCAAACCTACGTTCGATGCCCATTTTCGAACGCTTTGATTGTATTAGAATAATATACGAGTATAACGAATTGTTGCTATTCCCACTCCATTTCTTAAAAACACAGTACAAATCATTGTAGAAAAAGCTGTATTTCTTGCAGAATAATCTATTGAAATTTCGCGTAACAACATCATATGTTCATTTCAAATTGCATAGAATTGAAATTCATCAGGTACATATATCTCAATAACCAAGGAGAATATCGAAGTTATCTGGACGATCAAAATTCGAAATGAATATTTTTCCTTAGATCATACATCCGGACTGGATGTGATGAACTCTGAAGGAGGAATTCAAATATATGATTATCCTATCAGTTGAAAGTGTTCTATAGCTAATTTACCTCTGATAGTACTTCTTCAACTCTCTTCAGTCGCTGCTCATACTTGATATTTTTATCCATCCGTACAAGTGCCTGAAATGAAAAATAATGATAACTCTGATAGACTGCGCTCAAGATCATATAAACATGTATATCCAATACTATCTATATTCATCTTCTGAGAGTTTTTGAACAACTCGTCACTGACAATTGACCTGATTTTTCTCAAGGTTTTCTCAGTGACTGAACCACCCCTCGAATATTATCGAATAATCGGCAAATGCATGAAAGATCGCTATAATCGGAATCATTGAATTTGGGAGGAAATAACCATGTCATTTTATTGACATATATCATCACCCCTTTTGCATTCAGATATTTTTCGAATCGGTAAAGATTAACATGTATTGTGATTCACACAATTCACGATAGGAGGAAAGAGACACTAATGCGAAATTAGTTTTTTCCAACAAGCGTGCGGTAAAGTAACTCTTCCGCATGATTTTGCGTTTAGAAAGTTGTACTTTTTCACACGATATTACTCTTCCGCATTATTTTCACTTTTCCGGATGATTTCGAAGGAAATACCAGGAGACATGTGGTGATAACTGTTGGCACCAGAACGTACCCAACCCATAGCAACAGTCGCTATAAACTGACAATAAAAGCAGTCAACAAATAAGCATTTCAAACGTCTTTTCCGTCTACGTGATTTCAATTTAAAATGGACAACTCAGGAAACTTCCAAGTTCTCCCCCAGGATATGAATTCTGCAAACACTAACCATTCAAATTCAAATAAGAAACGACGTTCTTGATGATGTTGTGGCATCTTATATATCACAGCATGCAACAAACACAAATTGCACATTCAATTTCAATATTTATTATCGTTAATGATTTAGTTAGTGTTATTTAAATGTTGTTCAAATGCGTTTCCTATCATATCGATTGAGAAAATCTATTTCATTATTTTTCAGTGCATGGAAATATCGTGCGGAAAAGTTACTTCACCGCACTAGTGCTGAAGAGTAATTTTGTCGCTTGATCTTTGTATTATTGAAAATGGTGATATTTAGGACTGACTGAATGATGTAAGTAACTATTTCGGCTAATGTGTCATTTTGTAGCATCATTATAAAATATTGCTCATAAGGAACCTTTTTTTTTCACGAATAATATGGACAAAAACCCTCGTAGGAAAAACTTTGTTCCTAACTCTTGCAAAGAACTGGTACTGGTACTGGTGGGGGACGTTTCCACGTCAGCAACTAGTCCCCAATGGGACCTTTTTGCAAACCCCAAGTGTTTTCAATGACTGAGAGAGCTGACTAACATCCTTTTCAGGCACCGCCCATCAGCTCTCTTTTCAGAGTTTTTCAGCTGTGTTTTGTAGGCTAGTGATGTACTCACTACCATATGCGCAGTGGCAGGCCTGCTAACTATCCTCGTTAACCCCCGAGATCGAGGTCTACTTAAGCAGCTGGCCCGCTCTCACGCAAGAATGTCTTTTTCGCCCTTGACGACTTGCTCTTACTATATGTTTCCAATACTCTGTATTTAATCTCTTGTTTGCTCACCTGGAAGATCAAATGCTCTCTGACTGTCAAAGTATCAATGAATAAATCATCTTGCTGAACATATGCTGAAACTTTTGTTAATGCTTTCGAATTAACAGGAACTCCATTCATACATCTGGTTCCTGTAACGACAATTTCTCTGGTTGGTCTGAATGTCAATGCATTCAACAAGGTCGTTTTTCCTGATCCACTAGATCCTAGTACAGCCAAGAGTTCACCAGGATGAGCTACACCGTTTACTGAAAAAAAAAAAGTACATTGCACTAGACCTGTATATGACATCCACATTGGTGTTCATGAGATTAGTGTATGATATTACAGAAATATTGTGCACTTCACAGGAGTTTTTTATCAAAATAGGCAGCTTCATTAGCTCAACTCACTTCTCTACATACTGGGTATGTCACGACGAGCTCACACTATCTTCATATCGGGAATCAGTATAGAAAAATCTATGAAATTGTGCATGCTCGTATTTTGGAATACGCTCTCCTCATTCAAAATATTTTCGACAATGCAGTTTTGCCGCTCTTACTAGAAAGTACTAGCAATATTGTTATTCCAAATAGAATACCCAGTAATTCATCGCTTCTTTAGATTAATTCTGAAAAGATGATTACATCGATGCATAACACTTGGGGTCTATCCAAGAAAAATTTTTCAGAGAAATAGGGTGTTTCACCCTTTGAGGCCGGAATTTATTTACTCGATATATTTTGATGAAAAATGCACAAATTTATTCACATGTGATTCTAGGAGGTGTATATGCATGTCAATTTATTTTCAGACCTTGGCTGAAGGCTTCAGGACGTGTCCTTGGTTTGGAGACACTAGGCAATGAACATTGTTCAAATCACACAAGATGATTGACCACTAATTTATTTCAGTCGGGATTGACGCAGTGGACGAGCGCCCGACTCATGACCGCGAAGTCGTGGGTTCGAATCCCAGCCAGGGCAAGGAATGTTTCTAATATTGTTCAGTTTTGGAGCATCGGCTGGGGATAGTCCGGCACGATTCACGATTGCCTTCTAATCCACAGTGCTGCTCCTAAATTAGCCTATGGAGTAAGTATCAAAGCCTGCACAGAACACACAATGCAGAACACTTTGGGCTAATGGACCTTAATTTAGGTCGTTACCAGTTAGTCTCCACATATATACCAAACGAAGTGCTTACACTACTACTATTCCAGTTATCAATATAATCACAAATGTTTATTGGGAGGATATTGAAAGAAACAATGTTTTTGGTCGCTGAGACATAATCTCACATCAAAAGTAGAGCGAAATGAAAACAATTTTCATCTGATCGAAAAAACAGTAGAGGTATTCTTTTCCTTGTGTCCACAATGCGAGACCACCAACTTTCTGCGAAAAATAAAATTATTCTTCGATAGAATTTCCATTTTCCCACTACTATGACATTTTTCAATGAGTTTTTCACTATTTTGCAAAAGATAGACGAAAAAATATAATGAAATAGTTGATTAGCAAAGGCAGTGTGGGACCATGTTCATTAGTCTAAAACAATTTTCTTCTCTTGCGAATGAGCGGAATAGTGCGGGTTCCTATCAAGAGAAGGGACATTTACGCATGCACTTGAGAATGTGGCAACAATATAAATACACTAGGCGACTGAGTAAAAACTATTAGAGTTGTGTCTCCTTATCGTAACCACTAGTACACAAAGGTTTAAAATCAATATTTTTCAATTTCAGGATTCTTCAATGTCAAAACTATCCATTATTGGTCGAAAAGGCTCACATGTTCCTATCATTTAATCGGTTTAATCGGAACAGATACAGGGTAGTTGAAGATTTACAATTTTGATCTGCGCCGTTTTGTATGGTAATGAATAGTTTCGACACAAACGAATTAAAAAATTGAAAAATCTCGATTGTGAATACCCTATATCTTCGTTATCATTTTCGATAGACCCCAAATTTGTTGTATCGATGGAATCAGCTCTTCAGGAAGAATCTAAAAATGCAATAAAATACATTATAGTATTCCATTTGAAGTAACAAAGTTGTTGCCACTGTTTGATTGAAGCGGCAATACTGCATTGCTGAAAATATTTTCAATGAAGAGAGCGTATTCTGAAATATACCCTAACAACACTAGTGCATCCTAGGGACTTCCCATGGACGTCCCTGATTTCATACTAGGACATCCCAGGGATGTCCTTTGTCGAGACAACGTACATACTAGGGATGTCCCAGGGACATCCGCTGGCCGCTAAAAAAGGCATCCAAGGGATGTCCTTCTGGTTGGTTCCTGGGATGTACCGAGTACGATGAAAGAATATCCCTAGGACGTCCCAAGGATATCCCAGGGACATCCTTTCGACAAAATGAAAGAGTTTCAGGTCGAGTAGGGATCGAACCCGAGACCTTTGGCTAATCATGCACGAACCTTGCTCCATTGGCTATCATGCCTATTGGGTATAATCATTATCATTCTTGGGTGTTTGAAAATGAGGGACATTATGCATGTACGATTTTTGTCTGCGAAAAATGGTAATTTCTTGAGAAGTTCTGAGACTTTATTCTCTATTTTCATTACAATCATTTTCCGGAAGAGAAACAAACATTTTCGAAAAAATTCAACTCAATAGTTTGATGAAATTCAATGACTCTGATGATAATGGATATCAGATACTCCAGGGACACGAATAGGATAACCTAGGGCGGGATGTCCACTGGACAACCACTGCAGGACATCCCCTGGATGTCCCAATCATTTCCTTGTACCGCGGGACAAAAAAGGGACGTACCTAGGACATCCCTGTGTTGTTAGGGTAAGCAGACATATTTTTAAGATATAGAGATAGTGTAAGCTCGTCGTGTTTAAGATTCGTTCTTGACATCAAAATTTCAATTTGTTTCGAAGATATTTTCCCTTTTTCCTACAGCATTAATAACATGTTGACATCATCACATGGAACAACCGAAAAAAACAATATAAACCTTGTCAAATGTGCATCAGTCGCTATGGCTACATTGATAGTTTTTATATAGCCATTTATTGAATCATGCCACATCATTATGCAAAACACATCAAAAGTCCTAGAATTAACCTGCCTTCAGATCTTTGATGATGTGCAAATTTCTAGAAAAAAATCGGAATTCAAATTCAATGTTTGTATAATCAAAAAACTATCAGGGAAGATTGAGTCCATTTCCTTATGAGAACATGATTGAACTGACACTCAAGTCATGACGAAGTCTATAATACTGAATAAAAACCTTCAGTAATAGTTAAAGGTAATAACATCTTGATCAATTTATGTGAAATTTGTGTTGGTTTCCTTGATATTCCTATTTTTGCAGTATGATTCAGCTTGTTATACATGTCTATCGAGAGGTAATTATTCTGTATTCATCAGTACTTCTCGTTTATTTATTAACATGGCATAACATATTTGAACATGCTTTGTCGCTGTTTTATGTGATAATATCTTCATGTTATACAAGACAGTGAAGGGATTTCAAGGAAGAAAGAATGAATAGAAACAAAATCAGTAATTTTCTGTTTTCTCAAAACATTTCAGGAACGGATATAGTTGTTTCAAATTGAAAAAAAAACTTTATTGATGGAGTGCCAATCATGCATTATTTGTCTAATTTTAATTTCTTGAGTTACCTGCCCCATTGCATGATATGCTATTGAGAATTATTCAAATCCAACACTCTAAATATTCTCATTAGAATGCAAATTTGCTGTCAGCTAATATCCACACAATATTGTTGAATTTTCAATAGTATAAATCAATCTGAATAATCAATTTGGGACAACTTATTCAGAACAGTTGGAATATAATTTTGTGAAAGATATATAGTTTTTTGATAGTATATTAGTGATTATCTCCTATGGAACGTTATCAGTCATCAGGATATTGTTCAATACTTGCCATTTTTGAGAATATGTTTCCTCTGCTTATTTTCCACAACGTCATTTTCTCCACAGCACCAGTATTTCCTTTTTGTGTTTTCACGACCAGTAGTGAATGCATTCAAGTTATTCCATGTGTACGTAATTCTTTCTTCGATTGGAACGATTTTGACCACTGATCCAGAATCAGTTCCATACATGGGAACTCGGACTGATTCCACTTTGACAGAAGAAGATTCGAAAGAATCATCTTCCTGAAATACACGGAAACATCGATTCATGAAAACCATCCATGTCTCAAGGTGGTCCAGTTATTTCATAAGAAAACAAATTGAACACAAAAATATCAACTCTATGTAACCGGTTTCGGCACTACGGTCATCATCAAATACTTCATAAATATATACCAGAATGAACAAAGGGTCAAACATATTCAACTGATTCGAAATCGTAAAATCAAAATCACAAGCAACACGTGGAAATTTGGTCGTCGGAAATGGAGACTGCCTGCGTTCGACTGAAATCCTAGTTTTTTTTATCTCTTGGAGCGCACTGAAATTCCTATAATTTTTGGCGATAATCGTGCCTACCTAGGGAGGATTAGGAAGGGGAGGTGAGTGTTGGAATATTTTTGAACGAATTCATTAGATGACAGTTTTTTACTGGTAAATCTGGGCTCGTTCAGCCCCCAACCGCTATAATCATGAGGACCTGAAATGTGATAATATGTAAAACGCCGCTGAGAGTAATTCCCAAGAAAAACTAATCTTCAAAAGTTGGAAAAAAATCTCAACACCTACCTCCTCTCCGTATCCTACCTTGGTGGAATCGATCATATTTAAACATCATAGGAATTTCCTTTCCTGCTCTCCAAGAGGAAAAAAGGAAACGCTTCACTGAGCATTCTACGAGATTCTTCAATTACACTGTCCTTCACTATATTTACCTGGTGTGAACATTATGCAGTAGGTATATTTCGAAGCGAAAAAGACCGTCAAAAAACATAAAAAGGGTGTCTGGGAAGGTTATGTCGTGAATGATAGAGCTGATAAAGTGAACAAAAAAAATGTACATTTAAAAAAAAATTCATTTCGTTACGGAACTATCGACCTTGAGAGTTTGAATGACAAAATCAGATATCATGGATAACTGCCAAACTCTTGTAATGTAATCAATGATATTCGGGCAACTGATTCAACTCATACTTATGCTCTTTTCGATATGTGGCTATTGAGTGGATAAGTTTTTGACAGAGGTGACAAGTTTGACATTTCACTGCCCTCCTTTGATTTCTAGTTCTTTCACTTTCAAACATGGTATGATTTATTTCATTTCATAGCTTGAACCGTTCTAGATAAAATCGTATTCCGAAAACATATATCCCAACATTTCAAAGGTGATAAAAACTTCATTTATTAAATTACATCATGGTAGTTGCAGTGCTGATAGAGTGAGCCAGAATAATGTCAGTACTTCATATGAAAAAAAAGTCGCTATCGCATTTCGTTATATATATACTGAAAGCAACTTATTCTAATTAGGAATTCGTGGGAATATACTGAAATGGTTGATGTCATATCGAAAGCAAAGAAAAATCATTGTGAAGGTCGAAGGAGTTCGATCTGAAATGAACAATATTGATCTAGGCGTCCCACAAGGATCTATATCAGGTCCACTAATATTTCTCATGTTCATCAATCACCTACCTCATTATATTGAAACTGGCTGTCTGGTTTTATGTGCCGATCACCTATCTGTAGCGTTCTATAGTGGAAATCAACAAGAACTTGATAATAAATTCAACCAATCATACAGCAGATTCAGTGACTGGTGTCACACTAATCGATTAATAGTAAATGATACAAAAACCATCGTTATGCAATATTCCATCAAGAGCAACCATGTGTCCGAAGTAATCAATAATAACAATACAATTACAATGAATACTTCTGAAAATATCAAATTCTAAGGAACATTCTTAGACTCAAATAAAGCATTCAAAAACTGCATAAATGATATCAGTAAAAAAATCAACAGAGGATTCTATGACATTCTACAGATAAAAAACATATTTAAAATAGACATCAGCTGATCAACATATACTATGCAATAATATATCCCCATCTAACATATCACATAGTTGTCTGGGGAAATGCAGTTTCATCTCAAAGACTGATGATATCACAAAAGAGAATTATACGACTAATATTTGGAATAAAACGTACTGATTCTTGCAAATCATATTTCATTGCCTTGTATATACATCATGAGATCTTTATCACTAATGAAATCGAAACTCTCAAAATTTTTAACAAATAGCGATAACCACGAGTATAATACAAGACACGGAAACCTCCTACATATTCCATACCATGAAACAAGATTTTTCGGAAGAGCTCCTCTTTGTGCAGGCATTCAGTAATATAAGAAATAACCACAGAGATTGTGGATGAAACTAATTACAACATCTTCAAAAATTAATTGAGAAAACACCTAATAAGTGAATGCTACTATGAAGTGAACGAATTTCTAGATGCATGAAAATGGTATACTAGAATATTATCTTGTCGATAAAATTTTTTATGAATCTCCTGTACCTCTTACAAATTTGATTATCTACTCATGATAATTGTTTCGTCAGCTTTCACCTGTGATATTTGTAATTCTACTTCATTTTATGTATTTATGTATTTATTATGATTATGTTTTATGACTTTTCCAATATCATGTAACAATGATCAAAATGGAATAAATATTTTATTATTATTATGTTACGGAATTATTGACCTTGAAGTTTTATATGGACTTATAGAAACTCTTCTCTCTCTTTTTCGGATGACTATCAGATGATGTAGAAAATCAGAGAATAATAGTTATTTGTTTAACTAGGCAGCAAAGTAGTAGATTGACTGCCGTGGCTGAATTCATAGCCGAGCGTAGCGAGGCTAGGAATCCAGCTAAGGCAGTCAATCTACTTTGCTGCCGAGTTGCACATATAATTTTTTTTCCGATTGTTCATAATAACTAATATCTCTTTATTTTTTCTGTAGTGTTCAATTAAAATGAAATTTGATAGGAACCGCAGTTGTTGGAATGGTTGATTGTTATGGAAACGTCCATAATAATTATAGTTTGACAATTCATGAAATTAAAAAATATCTGTATATATAAATTATTGAATGATGGACAGTGATAGCGACCTAGAAGTACTAACACCTCCAGAAATAAGGGAGGTGGCAAAAAATATAGAGTTGAATTTGTTGCCGTAGAAGTCTCGGATGAAATATGAAGGAAATTATAAACGATTTATGGATTATTAGTTTTGCTGATACATATCAATCAGCAAAGTAACCACTTTGCTGCCTAGGCAGGAAAAGTGATACTTTGCTGATTGATATGTGTCAGCAAAATTAATATTTGCTGCCAATCGGAGAAAAATGATATTTTTTTCTATGAGGGTGCGGAAAGTAGTACTCCTCTGTACACATTTGCGTGCAAAAAAGTAATACCACTCAAAAATCTGACTAGTATGGAAAATTCAAAGGCATTTTAGTTGCTGTATACTATTTTATGCGATATAAAAAGCCGTTGCAAGTTTTTCCTCTTCACCTCCTAACTGGATTTCCCGATATTTGTAGGTATCTCAGCTTGAATCGAAAACAAATGACTACCTGTTATAACCATTAATACGACTATTTCCAACCAACAATAAGTGCACTTGTCAACTTTGACATGTTGTCAGATTTTCTCTCGCCTATTGTCAGCAAGAATCTACACGCACCGACACTTTCTTATTCATAAAATCAAGAAAAGATTCAGAAGCTATTGAAATTATCAGTTATGAGCTATCACATTCCATCCTATCAGAAGCAGCAACATCTGCAAGTTTGAAATGACCATCCGCTTAACTCAACAAGAATATAGGAAAATATATAATTTCGATATGGTGCAACAAAAATGGAACGAAAAGTATCAAGGCGGAGGCATTCCTAGCCTATTTTGCAGACTTACTAAAAACCTATCATTCAAATACTTTATGGAGGACCTTCTCTTTGTTAAGAATTGTTAATAGAGTTGAAATAATCTCGAATTAGAGTTCATATTCGAAACTAACATCGATTTTTAAGAAGCAAAATGTTGGAACGGTACCGACCGAAGAAGGTCAAACTTTTAAAGAAGGTGAAGTTCCCAGATTTATGGAAGAGGGACTAGGTTTGAACTTTCTGAATGTCGACACCATTTTTGAGTTGACCGGTGCGTTGTTTCATGATATGAAACTCGTAGGAAATATATTGTTCCTATAACACGTGCGTAAAGTGCCTTTCTCGCACGCAAAAACTCATATACGAGCTCCGCTTCGCGTCAGTTAACTCTTCTTACGTGCGGAAAATTTACACTGTGTCCACGCAGGAAAATAACATTTTTTGATCCAATGAGTAAGAAGAAGGTTCACTCAGAATGATGAATCGAATGTTCATCAAATTAACTTTGCTCATTTAATCAGAATAGTCATATCAAGTGATTTTCGCGTGTTTTTGGATTGTTTATTTGAATAAATTTACACATAATTCATTATTATTATCATTACTTTGTTTGATGATAATTACAAGAACAATTCTCTCAAGACGAATCCATTTCACGTGATAATCATCTTCTATTTCTATTAACCTCACACACACACGTAGCAATCTGTGATATATATCGCAGTTTTATTATACTTACATTTCCTACACTCGAAATCGATGCAATGTGGAACGGTTCTGCACGAAGCAGAGGGGTTTTCTCTTCATCCATGACCGATAATTTATTTCACTTACAACTACTCCATCTAAGTTTGGCGATTTCTGAATATGCTCCAAACTGTCATCGAATACATGTACACATGAATAATTATGACCTGATTACGAAATATGGTTTTGTTTAAATAAAAGATAAAATAATATCTCTTCTACTCTACGTTATTGTCTTTAACTGTTGACTGAAGTCTTGAAACGAGAGTCACATACGGAAAGCAATCATAAAAATGCTCTGCAATGTGATATTTTCCGAGGTAGTTACAGCTCATTACCCATATCGAATTTCTCCCCCTCTAAAGAGAATTGTATTTACACCTACTGGTTTTACTAAAGCAGAGAAGACACTTTGGGTCTGTAGGGCACTTTTAGAGATACCTGATGTATTTCTCACTTCCGTTAACGCCCAGCATGTTAGTAAGATACTGTGTGATTTTTTTGAACAGTTTATCAGCTCTGTTTATATTGTAACTTCAAGCTGTACAGGGTGTTTCCAGAGATGATCCCTCTCTTTTTATATAATGCATCAGGGGTCACAAAAAAAACGGAAGTTTTTATTTTTCTCATGAATTCATCATTTTCCAAATGAATTTGAATTTCTCGACGTCATTTTGTAGCTTGAGGGGTATTGTATGCAGTGCAATATTTGATAATTCCATAATTGGAAAACACAAAATGGTGAAGGATCTCCAACATTAGTGATTCACAAAACTGCTAAGAAAATCACAATTCTGTCAACCTCTTCCAGAGATATTTCAGAACAACAATTTCTGAAGAGAATAAGTACTCAAACATCGGGATCGAATAAATATTCCAGAAGATACACTCATTTTTCTGCAGTTTGTTATGGAGTTAAAGTCGTGCTAATCTCGTGATAACGATTAATATTATTTCGCCTCTGACTTTATCAAACTTCGATCGATTTCAGATCACTCAGAGCTATCTCAAAGATAAAAAGCTATATTACACAGTGGAATATTTGAGAATGTCATAATTGATAAAAACAAAATGTTGGATTATCTCAAACATTTGTGATTCACGAAATCCGCTGGCGGATGGGAAAATGTTGATTCTTTCATTCAATGAGCACTCGAACATCTGAATCGAAGAAATAGTCCAGGAGACACATGTTCTGTTTGGAAATAATGTGTTATAGACTGTGTGCCAATCTCGTAATGAGGATTACCTTAATTTCTCTACTGGCTATATCAGAATTTAGTCAAATTCGGATGTCTCAAAGCCATTTTCAAGCTGCAAAGCTGTAGTACACAGTGTAATATCCAAAAATTTCAAAATTAAAAAGACAAGAGGAGTAACCCAAATTTTTGTGATTCAGAGACAACGCTGGCGTATATAGGAGAATGATTATATTAGAGCATTGATTCTCATAGAGAATGAGCACTCGAACATCTGGATGGAACGAATTGTCCAGGAGATGTACGCACTTTTTAGCGATATTATGGAGAAAATCTCCTGAAAAACGAATTTCTAGACAATCCACTATTTTGTTTCTTTCAATCATTTGATATTCAGATGTTTCAATAAAGTCTAAAACACATCTTGATCTTCGAAATATCCTTGAGAAATCCAGAATCGATTGAAATTTTATAAAGCCAAGAGCAAAATAATAATTGTCGTTATTACGAGATTACCACAGTCACTCCTTAACATACTGCGAATGAGTGAGTGTATCTCCTGGACTATTTGTTCGTTTCGATGTTCAAGTACTCATGTTCTTCAAAAATCAATGTCCTAATACGGAACAGGTTGTTCCCTAACAACACGAGTACATCCTAGGGACTTCCCAGGGACGTCCCTAATCTCAAATAAGGACATCCCAGGGATATCTTTTCTGGGACAAAGTACATACTAGGGACGTCCCAGGGACATCCGCTTTCAGACAAAAAGGACATCCCAGGGATGTCCCTCCTGGTACGTCCCTGGGATGTGCCGAGTACAAAGAAGGGATATCCCTAGGACGTCCCAAGGATATCCCAGGGACATCCCTTCGACAAAAGAAAAAAAAAAGTAGGTCTAGTTGGGATTGAACCCGGGACCTTCAGATTATCAGGCACGCATCTTACTCCATTGGCCAATATGCCTTCTGAAGATTCATGTATTGAACAGATTTATGAACAGGACAACTACAGAAACCTGGATAAATAAAACTGTTAGGATTCGGGTATAATTATTATCATTCTTGGGTGTTTGAAAATGAGGGGCATTATGCATTTACGATCTCTGTTTGCGAAAAATGGTCATTTCATGAGAAGTTTTGAGACTATATTCTTTATTTTCATCACAATTATTTTCCGGAAGGAATACATTTTCGAAAAAATTCGACTCAATATTTTGATGATATTGAATGACTCTCTGATGTGAATAATGGATATCAGATATTCCAGGGACACGAATGGGATAACCTAGGGATGTACCGGGTGGGATGTCCACTGGACAACTACTGGCGGGACATCCCCTGGATGTCCCAATCATTTCCTTGTACCGCGGGACATAAAAGGGACGCACCTAGGACATCCCTGTGTTGTTAGGGTTAAAATTCTGATTTTCCTATTTGAAAAAGATTTTTGTAAATCACAAATGTTTGAGATACTCCAACATCGAGTTTTCATTTTAATCATCGAACTTTCAAATATTGCAGTGTATACTATAGCCCTCAAGCTACAAAATTTCGTCAAGAAATTCGACTTCTCATGAAAAAAGATCAAACCACGAGGAGAATAGAAACTTCCTTTTTTCGTGACCACCCGATATAGGTAGCTCATCAAATTAATGTTTTTCATCTCTTGGTGCACAAGAGAGGGAATTCCTATAATGTCCGTAGAACATTGGGCGTACATATAATAGAGTGCCAATCGAATCCTATCGTTCACCCCGTGGGAAATCGGAGGTAAAAAGCTGTGACATGGTTAGAATTGTTACCTACCATCTCCAGATCATGGATCCACTTGTCGTCAAAAAATCGTCCTGTGCGTTTGGGGGGTAGGGGGTAATTTATAAAAAAATATAGATTTTTTTTTTATTCGTGGAAAATATTTATGGGTTTCAGAACTTCCACCCTGTTGAATCTTGATTTCGTGTGACAAGTAGAACAAATTATAGAAAATTTTGAAATTTACTAATTACATTACGATATATGAGAGAATCATATTTCAAACGCCTATAACTCAAAACTTGTAAATTTTCGTTAAATTGCTTTTCATATACCTCGCATTATCTCAGTAACTACAACGTTTATAGAAAAAATACTTCAAATAATGTCGATGCGCCTATGTTTCAAGATGCGAATGGTTCTTCGATTTTGAAAATCGAAGCATAAATAAGGAAGATATTGAGAAAATCATAATGCAATGCAGGTACCACGGTCGATCACGCTTCGCCGCAATCGTACCCCTATTCTCCCCGCAATACCCGCGGCTATCGTGGTTCCATACGCTTTCGTTGGTTATACACATCAACATTGAGGTTGACCATTGCATTTAATGGTGACTTATTGTGAATTAATTATTCGATAATTGGTACTGTGTGCTCTGTTTCAATAATTAAATAAGTATTGATTAGCTAACGAAATCTATTATTGTAAATTTACCATAAAATATATGTTTCTCTAGATAAAAGATGGAAAGTACTAGCAATTCAGACACTGATCTTGAATATGTCTTGAAGTTGAAGATTCCTTTCCAACAGAGTACAGAATCATCGAGAAAATGTTTCATTTGTGGAGAAGATGGTCAACTCCTTCGTTGTACAGAATTATCGATAAAAACATTTGAAAGTTGTATGAATATAAGAAAAAACCTCGGAAAAAAATATGTGAGGCAAATCGATATGGAACTCCAGAGAATTGATGATATTTTCAATGAAAATAAAGGTCAATTGATCTTCCGGCTCAGGAATATTGAAAACTGGAGACAATAATGTCAGGAATAAAACGCTTTCTATAGTGAAATTGATGTGACGGTATTTTTGATGTGTCTTAAAGAATTTTCTACCAAAAACGTTCAAATGAGAGTCAAGTTTTGACCTAGTATTGACTACCAACATTGTTTATTGCCATGGAAGTCAAGTATCATAACCATTCATAACCAATGCTTTGTATCGAATTGGAAACATTATAGAGGATCACTGAGTGAGAATAAAGTTGTCATAGGTACCACACATGACAAAGAATTTGATAATCTGATAAAATTAATAGATGGTGCAGATTTCCTAATGAAAGAGGGTATACTTTCAACTGTTTATATAAAAAATATGCCGAACTTGGTGGCAAAACTGATAGGAAAATCTTAATCGAAGATTACTGTCTGTAGGTTAATCGAGAAGCTGAAACATTCATTTTACTTGATTTTTTGGGATTTTCTTTCCTCGTTTCTTTGGACGGTTCAGCAACGAATCTGCTCCCGTTCTCAACATGGAAATGCAACTTCCGAAGAAAAATGTTTCGCATTTTTATGTTGGGAACGGGAGCAGATTCGTTCCCGAAACATCCAGAGGAACGAGAGAAAATGTAGAAAAATCAAGTAAAATGAATTTATCGAAGAAAATCAGGAAGAAAATCAGGAAGGATAACTCCCCTGACTTTGTATATGCATCAGATATGACCCAGATACACAAATTGCAATTTTTTTGAGATATTTATCAAGATATGAGAGATATTCCAGATTATAAACAACTCAAAAATATGGATGTCAAGGCTTACAAGGATATGATACCAAAAGAACTTTTTTTAAATTAGTTGCCCTATACACGATAAAGTTGATTCAGTTGATTCAAAGGTGTTCAGTATCTGATGTCAAGGTATAATACTCGCTAATTGGAAATTCAAAAAACTCACAACGAAACACGTTGGTTTGGGAATAATGATTCATCAAGAGACATGATGGAAAAAAATTATCGTAGCTTTGTGTTCTTGTGGACACTGTATATCGCATTTACGTGTATTTACAACTTCGCAATTCGATAGGTATCAAATAATGTTTTTTTCAAGTTTCCACAAGGATATCTTATTTTTATTTCAATATTATATGCATCATGTTTTGTTTCAATATTTGTCAATTTGTTAATAAATGAGATGGTTGACATTTTACTCTGATGGATAATAAATGTACTTTCGAGATAGAATCATTCATAAAATAAATGGTGGGCACTTCCAATCAAACAGCAAGTTAAAATAAATTTCTGTTAACTTGGAAAATAGCGAACAATTCCATTTCTCCCGTGAATTCCAAGATCGTACTATTTACGGTGATCGTACTAGGACGGCTGCGGGCGTTGCGGGGAGAATCGGGGTATGAAAGCGGCGAGTCGCCGTCCTTCGTACTACCTGCATTGTAATATGATTTTCCCAATATCTTCCTTATTTATGCTTCG